ATAATGAAGATGCTAAGACTTGCAAAGTAATAGTAGCTAAACCTATGCAATAAGTGAACAACAACATTCACAATTGGATAAAAGAAATCAAGCATATTAAATATGGGTGTGATTTCTATAAATGTTTAATGAAGAGTATTACTCTTGAAACATTTGAAGAAAGCCATTTATCATAAGATGAAACATTAAAGAGTTTCATGGTGGAATTAAATTTTACTAATAAAATTCCACAAACTATTTGATCATGGTTTAGAATCAAATAATGAGTCCATTCGATTTGTCAAAATATTCAAAACAGGGTATCAAGACCATGTCTTGGATAAAGAAACACCTGTTAAGTGAACATTGAATATTTAAATCGAAAATTGTCCCTAATCGAGGTCATTTAAAATAGATGGACGATTAATGACCACCAGAGGTTAGTGTGTAGTATGATTTACAGCATCGTTTCTTGTGCTGCAAGGACATAGTAGTCATGAATCATTTGCACAGGTGCTAGTTTGGGACTACACTGGATCGACCTATGAGAGTACTTTAAGAGATTCAAAATTTTCATAAGTACATTTCTCATTATAACTATCGGAACCTCTTTCCTCGACCATGAGTATTGTTGAAGTTCTCTTGTTTAAGTACTAGTCGTTTTGATGTTGTCAAACGTCTGCCGTAACTGGGGATTATAACGACAACACTCAGGCGGCTAAGTCCTCTTAGTAAGGGAAGCTTACAGTACGAGACTGGGAATGTCCCCCTACTAACAATAGGGATTATGTCTTTGTTGTTTACAAGGCCGCTCGAAGAGCGAGACTGTGAAAATGCATGGCCGTGCTCAGATAGATTTTAGAAATCATCTGCTTATTGACAGTCAAACTCGGAGATCGAGAAACACTTCTGAACGTAATAAGGATGACAATGAATCTTACCTTATAGTTCACGAAGAGAAATTAAGCGACATAGGAAATTGGCTATACACTATATGCACACTTGTTCGGAAGAACAAGTGGGAGATTGAAAGGAATGGTGTCCTTCCAACAAGTGTATTATTCCGATAAAGGGTTCGGAATTATCGGAAAGCTAATTCTTCAGTAAGGTCAAGTGATCGGAATGTCTAGGTGGAGGCCGCTTCCGATCAGTAATATTAATATACAATTAATATTACAGCTTAATCTTGACTGAACCCTTCGGGTCACACCCAATCGAGTAACCGATCCGAGGTGACGAATCAATCCGAAGGATTAGATGAGTCATTAGAGTATTACGAACAAAGACGTCGGATATCAAGCTTAGATCGTCGAAACCGAGCGTCGTAAGTCAAGTCGAATTTAGAATTTGACGAAACGTAAAATCAATCGAGTTACAAGTACGTGCCTAGTTGTAGCCTCGCATTGGCCTAGCCATGTGAGTGCTAGGCTAGGCAAGCCCCATCGCAAGCCTAGTATGCTAGGCGCATGATGCTGGCCAGCCATGGCAGCCCCACACCATCGCATAGCAGCATGCTATGTTGTGCATGGTGCTGGGCGCTAGCAGCCTAGCTAGCACGCTGGGCGCTAGCAGCCAGGCTAGCATGCTAGATGCTGGGCAGTGGCACGCAGCAGCACAAGGCATCGCTGCGCATCATGCGTCCTGGGCATCGCATGGCAGCAGCATGCCTCGCACATCGCAAGCAACACACACGCACCAGTCAGCAGCGTGCTAGGCATGCTGGGCAGTGCGTGTGTGCATGTGCCTCGCGTAGCAGTGTGCTAGGCTCATGCGTGCAAGGCTGCGCATGGTGCTAGGCAATGGCGCGCCCCAGCAGCGAGCCTCTCGCAAGCACGCATCATCACAAGGCTGGGCCTTGCTTGCAATGCGGGTTGTGCATGAGAGGGTTGGGCTGGGCGTATTGCGGGGTCAGCAGTAGCATGGGCGAGCATCCTTGCCACTCACAGCGCCCAGTACACGCCATGCCACAGCAGTAGCTCGCATGCTGAGCGTAGCTTGCTGGCTGTGTACATGCTTGTGCTGGCTGGCTTGCTAGCAAAGCCTAGGCACCAGGCGCCAGCAAGGCTGCCTTGGCAACCAAGGCTGGCTGGCAGACAGCTGTCCCAACCACATGGTGGACACGGTTTGGGTGAGGGGACTAAGGCTTGTGGGCATTCCCTTGGGCATTAAGGCAATGGTCCCCCCCTTCTTGGAATGGTCCTCACCTAACCATTCTTCCTCCATTTGACACTTGTAACTCATTAATTGCATTGTTCATTAATTTATTTTTGATTAAAATAAATTAGTAGGAAAATGCAATTCTCCCACATGGATGGGAGAAGGGAGATTCAAGTCTTCTTTCCCTATAAATACCCATGTTTGGATTTTGGGAAAAACTACTTGAGTTGAACTCAATGAGGTATCTCCCTTAAGGTGAGAAAACCTCCAAGTTCGTAATACTCTAGTCTTTCTTGGTCTAGCCCCGACTAACCTTCGGGGTAGGGGCCGTTCGGGTCGGGTCTCGAGGGTGGACTCCGTTGGAGGCCATCGCACTTGCGAGGCTAGAGCTTTCGAAGTAAGATCTCGATTTGCGAGCGAAGCACGCATCGAGGGTATAGCTTCTCTCTCTCTTCTTTTAATTATGTTTATGCTTGTTTTAATTGCTTTAGTTATCGGGGTGGGTCTTGGGGGTTTCCTTTCCGCGTAGTGAGGGTCACTACGAAACCCAACAAATACAATGGCTAATTTCATACCGTTGTATTAGACTAGGCTAATCCGTTGTATTTCACTAGAACAAGGCTAATACAACGGTTTATACTAACCGTTGTATTAGATATACTATTCCGTTGTATTAGATGAGCTAATCCAACGGATTATTCTTCTAACACAACGTATAGTGTTCCTGAATTTTTTTTTATTTTTTTATTTTTCAGTTAGAGCTAATCCAACGGATCAGCCCCAAAAAATAAAAAAAGAAAAAAAGAATAAGACCTAATACAACAGATGAGTAAAAAAAAAACCCGGGAAATGCTGAAATATTAGAGCCAAAAATGAAATTGAAACTCCATTTCCCAAACTTCTCAATCTTCCTTAGTTTTCCTCCCTCGCCGCTGCTCCTTCCTTCGTTCTCCTCCCTCGTCGCCGCTGCTTCGTTCTCGTTCCTCGCCGTTTCGTTCTGTTGTGCTTGAATTTTCGTCTGCTAATTATGGATTTGTTGATTTTGTTTTTTTATTTAGTTTTAGTTTGAACCTTGCATGTGGCTGATTGCTCGAATCTTTGGATTTAGATTTGTTGATTTGTTCGAATGTTGCATGTGGATGATTGCTTGCTTGAGGGTGGTTGTTGGGGTGGTTTTTCGATTTATGAACCCTAATTTTTTTATAGGGGTTTATTTGGGAATACTTGACATACCTGTTGAAGTTAGCTGCTCGAATCTTTGGTTCTGTATTTTTTCTCCTGCTAAACGTCTTGTTCTTATTGTTGGTACTCTACTCTTTAATTTTTTTTCATATATTTTGTTGATTTTTGTTCCGTTTGTCAGAAATTATGAACTGGGTTTGCGTTGTTTTTTAATTTTGAATTGGATTTTCTCATCAAATTTGCTGTTTTTGACTAATTAGTAGCGTGAAATATGATCTGGGTATTGCTATGGCTATGAGCTGACATGGATGGGTTCATAGGCGTTGGGTGGGGTTGGCCAGTGTGGAGGCTGAATTCTCCAGGTTTTCTTCTCGAATTCCTCCTCTTTTTCTTAATTTCATCTTTAATGTTTGATTTTTGCATTTTGTTGTGAAATTTTAGTTGATTTTTTTTGTAGAATTTTGTAGTGTTTTTGAATTTTTCTGTGTTAATTAATACGAAGAATCATGTTATGAAGAATTAGTTGAATGTTATAATCAAGGATTGACTTAGCTTGCTCCTTTGGCACCTAATTTCATGCTGAGAATTATGGAGTCTTTGAGATGAAGTTTCTGAGCTGTCAAATTATTAATGTTTAGAACCTATTCTTGACCCTTGATTTAATGAAAGAAGCTTATGTTCACCCTTTGGATCAGTCAAGTCGATGATTATTATTCTTATTTATTATGTTCCTTGTCTTCCTTTCTTAGTATATTTTTCACAATGATTTTTGTTTTACTTGAGCCCAAAATGCTATTAAGACAACCTTTTTCTGTCCAATAGGCTAATTCAAAATGTAATTCACCAAACATGTGAACTAACATATCGAATTGTGAAATAACTGAAAAGGCTCTTAGGCAAATAGAAGATATTGGAACATTGAGTGAGTAACATAGACACGTAAATTTTTTCTTGTATATCGTTGTTGGCTCTATTTACCAATCAGCAAAGAAAGTCATTTGTATGAAGCTGTTATTTACTGGCCTAATTTGGCAAACTAAAATATTACTGTTTTGGTTAATTAAATTAGTAAATAAAATTTAACTTTTAGTGTACTATTTATGATTAGTTTGTGTTGAACAGCTACTGGTGCAGAACCCATTTTGATAGTCTGAAATAGGTTCTTCATAAAAGAAGTGTTAAAGAAGCAGAACTTTTTAGCAATCAAGATTCCTCACAACTCTCTTGAATTTGCCTGGCAAGTGTTCACTCTTTCATTTAAACCTTTTCAAATTTGTAATCATGATCAAGATAAGAGGCATTTCTTGGAAAAGGGGGTACAGTGCTATAAAATTGATCAAAATATGATTTATAACCATTTATATTTCATTCTCACGTCTTTATCCAGGGATAATGGTTATGTTCTTTTGCTTCATGTCTTTGGAATTAGCTGAGAAGTATGGACTTTAAAAATTGAATTAATTGGTTTGAATATAAATCTATAGAATTCTATTGTTGTCATTAGTAGAAGATTAGAACATGGTTCTTTTTATCTATCTTGGATAGTAAATAACACATTGAACTCTTTTTATTGCTTTATTATGATAGAAAGGAGATAGATTTGAATTGAGCAGTAATCCTGTATTAAGAAACTGGTTTCATATGTAGTTATCCTGTGTTAATTTCTATTTTTACCCTAAGAAATGGAAGGTGGAACTAACAATTGGTGGATGTTTGCTAAATGGAGTGATGAATATGAACAAGGAGTCGACGAATATGTCAAAAGGGCTTTTGCTATTAAGTCTCAAGGAAATCAAATTTGTTGTTCCTGTCAAATTTGTCATTATCATTTTTTGCCGTGTGAAGGTGTGGTGAGAGACCATCTAATTTGTAATGGTTTTGTTCCAAGATTGGATAAGTTATCAAAATTAGGGTTCAATACCCAAAGAGAAGAAACTATTTTGGATAATGATGAATGGTCAATCCCAAATGACTCTAGAGATGACGTAGTAAGGTTGTTTCATGATGCACATGATGCTTTTAGACAGGGGCCAAATGATGAGGCAAAATTTTTTTTGAGGTTAGTTGAAGAATGGCAAGAAGAATTGTATCCTGGTTCCAAAAATCACTCAAAACTTTCCTTCATGATTCGACTTCTTATTTTGAAGTGTGATCATAATCTAACCAATGCCGCATTTGGAGATATATTAGAGCTTATAAGGGAGGTGTTGCTTTATGCAAAGTTGCCAACTTCTTTCAATGAAGCGAAAAGTGTTTTGAAAGTGTTGGGGTTGGATTATACAAAGATTGATGCATGTCCAAACGATTGCATGATATATTTGGAAGAGCATGAAAATGCAACAAGCTGCCATGTTTGTAAAACACCAAGATGGAAATCAAAGGACAAAGAGGATGACATAGAAAATGGTAAAGGAAAGACCTATAGGATTCCTCAAAAGATTCTTAGGTACTTTCTGATAAAGAAGAGGCTTCAACGACTATTTATGTGTCAAGAGACGGCGAGATACATGACTTGGCATGCGAATGGGCGTGAAAATGATCAGCTTGTACAAAGAGTTTTCTGATGACCCGTGCAATGTGAGGCTAGGACTAGCCACAGATGGCTTCAGCCCGTTCAACTCAATGAGTATTGTACATAGTACTTGGCCAGTTATGTTTATTAATTACAACTTGCCTCCTTGGATGATTATGAAGCCTGAGTATTAGCACTCCTAATTCCGGGTCCTTCTTCCCCAGGCAATGACCTTGACATATATTTGCAACCACTAATGAAGGACTTAAAGGATTTGTGGGAGTTCGGACTGGAAACTTATGATGCTTCGAGTAACCAGAGGTTTCACATGCATGTAGCATTGATGACTACCGTGAGTGATTTTCTTGCTTACGGGATGTTATCTGGCTAGAGCACAAAAGGATACTTGGCGTGCTCTGAGTTTCATTATGAATTAGATTATGAGTGGTTGCCTTATAGTGGTAAAAATGTGTATAGGGAAAATTGTAAATTTCTACCTCCATTTCACCCTTGGCGTCGTGATAAGAGAAATTTTGATGGGAAAGTTGAGGAAAGACATCAACCTACTCCATTGAATGGAATTGATGTAGCTAATCTGTTGCGTGGTTTTCCAAATGAATTTGGAAAGAAGCAAAAGAAACCAAGGCGTGTTGTTGATGATCCAAATCCGTGGAAAAAGAGGGTCATTTTCTTCGAGTTACCATATTGGAAGCATTGTCTTAATCGTCACAACCTCGATGCAATGCATATTGAGAAAAATGTGTTTGATAGTGTCATTGGGACATTGTTAGAAATTTCTCAAAAGACCAAGGATCATGTGAGTGCTCATCGAGATTTGGTAGAGCTTAATTTGATGCCGGAGCTTCAACCAAGAGAATTGGAAGATGGTGGTGAAGAATTTCCAAGATCCTGCTTTTGGATTTCATTGGAGCAAAAACGTAAGTTCTGCCAAGTCTTCAAAAATGCCAAACTTCTTCAAGGATATGCTTCTAACATTGGTCGATGTGTACAAGTTGGGGAAAGGAAAATTGCAGGCTACAAAAGCCACGATGCACATTTTATGATGAATTATTTGCTCCCAATTGCAGTGAAGACAACATTATCCAAAGATGTTGCTACTCCTTTGATTAGACTTTGTGCTTTTTTTAAAAAGTACATGGAGTAAAACTGTTGATCCTCAAGATCTTGGAAAATTACAATCTGAGATAGTTGAAACATTATGCCTACCCTGAGAGGATTTTACCACCTGCCTTTTTTTATGTAATGGTACATCTACCTCTACACTTGGTGGGCCAAATTAAGTTGGGTGGACTTGTAAGTTTAAGGTGTATGTATGGGATTGAGAGGTATCTTCATGGATTGAAGCAAGATGTTCGTAAAAAAGCTCGTCCAGAAGGCTCAATGGCAGAAGCCAAAGAATGTGTTGCCTTTGTAGCTAGATATTTGAAAGGATCAAACTCGGCCACACCTTAGGTTAATGCTTGTAGTACATCACAATCATTTCTTCCTAAGGTAGGACATCCAATAAAAGGGAAAGGATGGACATCAAAGAAAAAAGACCGTGAACACATACTTGATCACAATCAATGGGTACAAGCGCATCGTTATGTCTTGTTCAATTGTGACTGCGAGGAAGTTGAGAAATATATAAGGTTAGATTACCAACCAAAGTGTAGTTTCTTTTCTTTTTCTCTTGGTTTTCAATGTGTTTTATTTGTAGTGTTAATAAAGTAATCTTTTTATATTTCATAGTGAGCACAAGGAATTTGTAAGCGCTAGAGGAAAAAGGAAATGAAATAGCGTTCAAGATCACAACAAGGATTTTGTGGATTGTTTTAGGGAGAAAGTTGATTTCATTGTTGAAGAGGGTAAAGAAATCATCCCTAATAATATCATATGGTTATCAAAAGGGCCTTCTTACATTGCTAAAAAGTATACAGGGTACTCAGTCAATAGTTATAGGTTCCATACTATGAAGCACGATGCTAATTGTGTAACTCTAAAAAGTGGAGTCACTCTAACGGCCATGACACATAGCTTTGCGAGTTCCAAAGATCAAAATCCTATTAAAGCTAATGTCAATTATTATGGTTCAATAATAGACATCATTTCAATATCTTACCATGGCTACTTCTGTGTCGTCTTATTTAAGTGTGTGTGGTTTCACTTTGAAAAATATGATGATGAGCTTGTAATATTTAATATGTGTAAGACGATTTCTAAAGAAGGACCATTTATCTTGGCATCTCAAGCACATCAAGTGTTTTATGTTAAAGATCTTAATAGAGATGGTTGGCATTATGCTGTTCAAATCCCTCCTAGAGAGCTTTCTGATGGTTTTTTCCCTAACAATTTATTTTACATTATATTGCATTGCTTTCCATATTATATTATATTATATTATATTGCATTTTTTTCATATTATTATCATTTATGGTTTGTAAACATGTTCTCATTGAATGGCTTTGCAGATGAAGGGGAGTAAAGCAAAAGCTTTTGATTCCCAAAGTCAGCTTCCAAACTGTGAGTTACAAAGGCTCCGAAAATTAAAGTATAATGCTAAAAGAATGTCAGCCCAAGGATCGGCATCCTTGGCGAATAAGATACTACAACAAAAAAACACGGGACATACTTTGTCCGAGTGTGAAGCAGACAGAAGGTCCATATGATGGCTCCTCAAGAGACTCTGATATGGAACAGGATACTCTTGGTACTGGAAAAAGACAAGTATGTGAAAGGTATCTTCAGTAACTTGAATTTGTTGCTTTGTATATATATGTATTACTTATATATATTACTTGTTTGATTTATGCATTACTTGTTTCGCTTTTGTTTTATAGGTCTCTTCTTAACAACATCCAGTTCCCACACGGGAAATTCAAAGGAAGCAGCAAGAACAACAATTGGGGTCAACAAAGGCACCTGTGAAGAAAAGAGCGTTCTGTTCTCCTAGCTCAATGTCAACGTACCTCGAGTTTCGGAAACGAAAAAAAGATGAAGCGCTGATGATGAGCAGTGAGGTGCCTGAATAAGGGCAAAATTATGATGATGAGCAGCTGAATGAGACCGCTGATGCTCTTTAGGAAGATTGTGAGGGCAATAAAGCAGCGAACTGAGCAGTTGTAGCATAATTTGGAATGGAAGGTATATTCTGATCATGATATTCTTGTTATATACATACATACATATATGTACTTCATGTACAAGAACAAAGATAGGAGCTAACAAAGCAAAGAAGAGGATTTTGCTTCTCAAATTGGTGTAGCTTGAGACTAATTAACTTTCAGGTATTTGTAGGGCAGAGTGGTAGAAAGGAGGTTTTGGTGCTTCTTACTTGGTTGGACAGGTATTTGTAGGGAGTTTCAGTTTGGAAGATACTGTTGGGATTAGCATGAGACTAATTAAATTTATGTAATTATGAATTATGTTTCTTACTCTGAGAAATGATGTAGTGCGTAGTTACATTCCCGAAGCATTTTGTAGTCAGTCCTTGATTTATCTCATAAATCTAGGCTGCATTTTCCTGTTAGTCCTATACTCAAAACTGCAGTTCTGCTGCTTTCCACCAATATCTGTAGGACTGCAGGTCAAGTCTCTCTTTTTTACCTGGTGGAAATGAATTATATTGTTGAATTGGTATCTTGATGCTGAAATCAATTGTGAAATTTACGTGAACAACTTAAGCTTGTGGCTTAAAACTTGGGTGGCTTTGTATATATGATGACTGGGTTAATGAATTTGATGTCAGATTAAGGTCCTCAATAGATTAGGGACTTAGGTTCAAGTGTTCAAGCTCAACTGTTCAAGACTTATTCAGGCAAATGAATTTTGGTATAAATTTGATAATTTTAAACCTAGAAAACCCAGTTCAACCTTTGTGTTTGTTGATAGCTATTCAAAACCTGTCATGACTAGCTAAAATGGATTTGGATTTTATTAGCTAGTTTATTACTAGATAGCTAACATCGAAGAGTTAATAAGAATGTTATCTAATTGTTGGTTCTGCTTGAAAACTAAAAGCTGTTTATTAGGACCTTTAGATGGAAACATCATTTGACTGACTACTTTGTGTTGGGACTCCTAAGTCCTGACTCGTAACTGAATAGTACATTATTCTGTGACTTTCGGTAAATTCTGAAAGTGGAAGGCCAGGCATATTTCTATGTGAAAGTCCAACCAAAGCTAAAGATATATTCACCCTCACTATTGATACCTGATAGGGTGACCATTTCTTCCTGTGTCAGATTTCTGTAAAAGCTCTGTGTGAGTTGGTCAACATTCATTGAGGGTGTAGGGATGTCTCGTAGCACCTCTGAAGCTAAAGATATGCTATCCAAACCCGTAATATTATGGAAATTTTATTTATAGAATTATGTATATGTGCAAGTGAAAGGTTTGAATTTGTATGAGTTTACTCTGTTATGTATATCCAATTGACTAGTGTTTATTACCACAGAAACATCAAGTGAATTGTCCTCGAAAAGGAAGAAACAACGAGGTCGAACAATGCTCCAAAGAGTTCACGCACGTTCAAGAGAGAAGCGTCTTGTGATTGTTTTGAACTCATTAGGTCAGCCAGCTGGACCTACTAAGGAGATTGTGCAAGAGTTCAAGTTTTTTCTGGGAATGGTGGCAAGGGATTCCGAACTTGCACCGCTTAACTACAGAAATTTTCCAAGCCTACCGACACTTGATAAGATATTGGATTATGTCTAGGTATACAATGATACTGTCTTAGTTGCATTACACGTACACCTCCACACGTTACTAATGTTTTAGCTTGAACAGGAGAAGTATATGGTCCCCCATGCCGGGTTAAATTGGATGATGGATGGTGTAAATAGTTGTTGGAAATATTATAAATGCAAAATCAAGAAGAAACACTTCTATGCATATGATACGGATGATTTAAGGTGGAAACATAACCAGATACAATCTCCGATTAGATGTTCCAAGATCTTCTACAATATTGGCATACCAATGAGGCGAAGGTACTGTACGTATATTGATTCTAACCTAATTTCCTCAAATAATTTTATCTAATATGTGTTTAGTTTTGAATTAAATGGTGGTTTCCGATTTTCCCTAGGCAATTAGCCACAGCAACAAAGACAATCTTCTAATGTTAGATTATATGCACACTTTGGGACGCAAATCATATGCTATTTTACGCCATGAGTTGGTAAGTACATTTTTTAAAATCTAAATTATAGGCATGTTGCATATATTTTTATTCTAATTTCGTATATTATGATTTACATATATATAGCAATAACAAGATTTACAAGGAAAGGTTTACAAGGAATCAAGAAAAAGAAGTGCTGAACGGACATACATTAGCAGCTCTGAAAAAGCAAAAGAGAATATTGTGAGTTATTCGATAATTAGTAACATTGTATGCCTAACTATTGTTAGTTATTTGATAATTAGTAACATATTACTATGTTTGCCTAAACTGGCTAAAATTGATGCTTTGGAGTCAGCAGAATCACAAGAAGATGGTAATGTATGCAATGACCCTTACAATGAAGTGATTCCACCTCCTAGACGCAAAAGTCGTGTGCATCTATATGGCTCGGGTGTGAAGAAGAGTGATTTGAAGAACAAAGATACAAAGTCAAGTTTCATACTCCCGAAGGAATTCATGGTAGGCATAAAAGCACAATTAGTCTAAGAAATTGCACTTACCATCACCACTGCAGTTTTGGATTCGATTCGCGAGGCGAACCCCGGGATTAATCTTGTGGTTCCTAGTACTTTGCAGCAATTGACTCCGCATGATGCATCTAGTGCACCAAATCGAAATACTGCCCAAAGTGGGCAATCTTCAAAATCATTTAATCAGGTACAATCAGCACTTCTCTACTATAAACTTTCTTTTCTAAACTTCTCTGAACAGGAACAACAAATGGTGGTGTTGTGTTGTTGGTTGTTGTGGTCTTGATAAGTTGTGTGTTGTGTTGTTGGTTGTTGTGGTCTTGATAATTTGTTGTGTTGTGTTGTTGGATGTTGTGGTCTTGATAAGTTTTGCAGAGCTGCTATGCTAGTCTTTTGTATAGCATTTGGAGGTAGGGGAACAAAGTGGTTTAGGATAAGACTTTGATGAAGCCTAAAAAGCTTATTAAGACCTTATGTAATGATATTTTTACAAAAAGTCTCACAAAT